GTGAATCTAAGACATATTCAAGGAATATATATATATATTAGCAACACCATCCTATTAGAAATTATTTCCCAGCATTCTTTCCTATTGAAACCACCCATTCCTTCTTGTCGCTTCAGTTATAACTTGTGTTCAGAGATGGTAACGAGTAATTGTGGATTGGGTTTCTTTATATTTATATATTATTTATTATTTTTTAATAATAAATTTAGATATTTATATTTTATTTATTAAATTTTAAGTATCCATTGAATATCTATTATTTAATAAAAAATAAAATAATAATATGTATTTTTGAAGCATGCATGCATACATACATACATACATACATACATATATATATATATATATATATATATAATGATAAAATAATAAATATATTGTTTTCTTGAGTGATTTTTCTCCCAATTTGATTATTCACAATTAGATTTTTATTATTTTTCTAAAATTTATTTTTTAATATTTTATTTATTTTTAATTAAATAACACAATTTGTTTCAGTTTTTATATTGGTAGGTTTATCTCAATCTTAAATAGACGCGTTGATATTTATTTGATTTTTAATTCTATAAATTTTTATTTTTTATTATAAAATTAAATAAAAATATTAAAAATTTTGCAGAACATGATTATATTCATTGCAAGAACCTATTTATTTTTTATCACACAGTTAAATAACAATTTAACAAGTTATTAATTTTTTTAACTTAATAGAATTCATGGCTCGAGTCATGAGTCTAACTGGTTAATATTAATTGATTAAAAATTAGATTTTTAAATATTTTGTAGTTGCGTGATTTATGGTATAAGGCATAAAAAAAACCAAAAAAATATGCGAAAAAAAGAGAGCTTCTAGACTAGAAAGGGGTGACAGTGTGAAAAATTTTAGACCGATGTATCTCTTAGAGGCTGTGTAGGTAAAATACATTCAATATATGATGTTTAAACATTTTGTGTGACAATCACACTTTAGTACGGAGAATCAAAACTGATGTGTTCACGATTCCATTACCACACACATCAACAATTCCATTCCATTCGTTTCGCATATGAAGTAAGTGGTAAGATTTTTTTTAATTACATCCATTTTTTATTTTTTGTTTCTTATAAATATATTTAACTAAAAATAATTTTCTCTTGCAAACTATGATTCTTGGACACGATCCAAGTCTGATAAAGCTTTTTGTGAACATACATATGCAAATTGATAATTGAAAAACAAAGATGAAATAATTGCTCAGATATACATTAAAACAAATTAAAAAAATAAAAATAAGAACAAAAAAATAGTATAAATAAATTAAGTGTAGAGTGATAAATATTGTAAGTATAAAGAATAAAAAATAATATTTTTTTCCAAAAAATATGTAAAGGAATAACTAAAAGAATATTAGAAAATAATGAATATAAAAATAAAAAATAGTGACAAATAGGTCAAGTGTAAAGAAAAAAAAATACAAACAATTTTTTTTAAAATTCCAAAAAATTATAAATCAACCATTGCTATAATACCCGCTTCCAAGAAAAATTAATAACTTTTTACAAATCTATCATTTTCTACATGAAACATCATTTCGATGCTCATAGAAATATATGTTCCGTGAAGAGTATTTTATATTTTAGATTACTATAAAAGATTGTTGTTGTCTTTGTGTAATTCTTGAATTTTCTTTTTATTAATCCAATGAAATATACTCTATTATAGTAAAAAAAATAATATTTTTAAGTTGTGTTAATAATATTTTTAAATATTTTGCAGTTGCACAAATAATTTTTAATTTATTTAATTAAATATATGAATAATTTATTTAATTTATAATTGAGTTTTTTTATATAAAAAAACATATGAAATGTCTTTATATTTTTTTTATATAACACATGTTTTACAAAAAAGATAGTTTTTGAAAATATGATATTGTTTGTTTTTTAAAATGTTTTTTTGCATGAAAACATATGAAATTAATATTTTTTATTTTTAAAAAATTATTTTTTATTTTTTAAATTATATAATATACTGATATCAAAAATAATTTTTTTAAAATAAAAAACATTAATTTTAAGTAAAATTACTTTTTGAAAAATAATGAAACACAGTTTTTATGCGAAAACAAACGTCTCTTTTACTAAAATAACTGTACGGTCCCAACAGCGGAAAGACTGAGGTTTTTCCGTCAATGTGATATTGGCTGACTTCTATTTATTCTATTCAATCCTCCCCTCCCCTCTTCATTTCCCTTCAAGAAAACTCTTTCAAGGTTCATTACATTTTCTAGTAACATTATCTGTTTACCATTGAATTGCTTTCGTTTTCCTTGGTAGCTTTACAATTAACTTCTATTAATTTATAAGTAGCTACAATGTTCCTAAGGGGAATTCATCTAATTTTGTGCAGGAAAATGGCTCTTCTTGGGTTTCTTTTAGTGGGGTTTCTCTCCTCTGTCTCTTCTGTTCATGGATATTATGGAGGTTGGATTAACGCTCACGCCACTTTCTATGGAGGTGGCGATGCTTCAGGGACAATGGGTATGTGAGACACGCATTCTTTTTTTAATAGGAAAATCATGTACATGCAAGCTCTATGATGTATAATCTTCCTACAATATTGTCCTGGCTAACCTTAGCTGGGTTGTGTTTTAAGGTGGGGCTTGTGGCTATGGAAATCTGTACAGCCAGGGTTATGGCACTAACACAGCAGCACTGAGCACTGCATTGTTCGACAATGGTTTGAGCTGTGGTGCTTGCTTTGAGATCAGATGTGTAAATGATCCACAGTGGTGCCTGCCTGGCGTAATTGTGGTCACCGCTACCAACTTCTGCCCTCCCGGCGGCTGGTGTGATCCTCCCAACCATCATTTTGATCTCTCTCAACCTGTCTTCCAACACATTGCCCAATATAGAGCCGGAATTGTCCCAGTAATCTACAGAAGGTAGGTTAATTAATCAACACTTTTATATGCTTTATCAATTCCGCTCAGAACTTCATAACCTAATTACAGATTAATGAGGTTACGGATTGTTATAGGGTAAGATGCATGAGGAGCGGAGGCATTCGGTTCACCATCAATGGCCACTCATACTTCAATTTAGTCCTGATTACCAATGTTGGGGCTGCTGGCGATGTGCATTCAGTGGCCATCAAAGGTTCGAGAACTGGGTGGCAAGCAATGTCGAGAAACTGGGGCCAAAACTGGCAGAGTAACTCTTACCTTAATGGACAGAGTCTCTCTTTTGTAGTGACGACAAGCGATGGCCGCAGTGTGGTTTCTTACAATGTCGCCCCTGCTGGTTGGTCCTTTGGGCAGACGTACAGTGGAGGGCAGTTTAGGTACTAGCAACGATTGCCTGTCTTGGAAAAAGGCATGCAGAATATGCAGTATTATCAAGCAACACGCCGGCGGCAACATTATTGAAGACGTAGTACATACTGTGTTTGTTGCAAGACAGAAAATATATGGTCAACAATGGGTCCATGTCTCTTATGAAATGGCCCTAATTCCCACTTTCCTATCCCATGAGCCAAGGCTTCATTTTTACTGCAGGAGTGTGTGCATGAATATATACGTCCAAAGGCAGCTGCTCGATGACTGCTAGGACATTTCAAATTACAAGTACAAGTAAATTTTAAAATGCTTGTGGTAAGAAAAAGGTCATTGTTGGAAGCTCTTAGTTCACTGTGCCCTTGTTTGTATTTGATCTGCAAAATAAATGTACCTTTTGATATGGTTAATTTTAATGAAAGTGAGATCTCAACCCTTTCTTTTTCCTTCCTTTTAATGTTGATGATTTTCCAAAAATGGATTAAGCTTCATAATGAAAGAGATTAATAAACTGATTATAATTATATATTTCGTGGTGGAATGTCATAAATTCCTTTCATGAACTAAATAAATCCTTTTATTTGCACCATGTATTTTTTTATTAATTAATTCATCAAAAATGAAAAAACCTAAATGATATCTATCTGGTCAGTAATGAAATTAGCTGCGGATACATGCACATGTGTATGTTAACATATGAGTATGATAGCTCTAACCATCTAAATAATATTAATAATTTTTTATCATACCGCGGGGCAGTTGCCCCTGCATTCCCAACCTATGTCTTGTCCCTGGCAATAAAACAGGAAATAAATTTTAAAGAGGTAGATGCCATTGTAATGCTTCGGTTCAGCGTATGTTTATAAGCTATAAACTATAATATAAAAAATTTGAATTTTTTTTTAAATTAAATTTTTAATTTTTTTTAAATTATTTTGATGTTCTAATATCAAAAATAATCTTAAATAAAAATTATTTTAAAAAACAATTAATATTATATTATTATCGAATACCGTAACATTTGCTATCGAACATTTGATGTCATTTGGTCCTGCATCAAGCACTGCATGGTACTCTAATGCAATCTCTCCCAATTCTACAAACTGTTTTTTATTTCTAAAAAGGGCATAGATATCGATTAAGCTCGCCCATCATGCTGCAAGTACTGCTTGATGGTTAAAAAACCTATAATAAAATGTCATTTTGCATTTTAAGATACTATTGGGTTTTGTCGGCAGGTTATTCAGTTTTGGAGATTGACACGGGAAAAATGTTGTGCAAAGTTGCAAACAAAGCACTTCACAGCTTAAGCTGGAGGAGACCTTCACACGTTGCCGGCCCCCCCCCGACCCCCCCCCCCCACCATGTGGGTGCAAGATTTTTTTTTTTCTATTTATTGCAAGATCTAATATATTTTTTTTACAAGTTTTAATAACTAATAGTATATAATAATAATAATAACAATAATAATAATAAAAAAAAATCAAGGTACATTTATCATATGGTCCTATTTTTATATCACGTTATTAAACAGATTGTAGAGACAAAAGTCGTAGTGAATGATGAGATATTGCCGGGAGCGGAGCAAGAAAAAAAAATTAAAGGAAGCAAATTAAAAATTAAGAGGAATAAAGTTAAATTTTTAATTATTTTTATAATATTTACAGGGGAGGAGATTGGGAAAAAAATTTCCTGCAGGGGCTGGGGCCCCTGCCTCCGCCACTAGATATTGCCTTAATTGTTTGTTCACACGATTAATAAGATTTCTATGAAAGCCTTTGTGAGGAAGCTAGCCGATGAGGAGACATGCTAGACTTGGAAAATTGAACGTGTTCCTGTTGTGTTAAAAAAATAATTGTTTTTGTATGTCCATACATGTAAAAATATTTTATTTTTTATTTTTTATTTTATTTTTTATTTTATAATTTTATTAGAAACTCACACCGATAAGAACACAAGCTTTGATTTTGCCGATATGACTTTAAAATTATCATAAACAATTATATTATTCCAAGTAAAATTATAATCTTGTAAAATCTTTTTTATCTAAAGAAGTGGTGTGCAACAACTTCCAACAACAATTTATTTGGCTTCAACAATTGATAAAAAAAATTGAATTTTATTTCTTGCTTATCCATGCTGCTAAATTTTCATCAACATAAAAACAACCTCTTGTTCTATTTTTTCTATCATCATTGTTACCAACCCAATTAACATTTGAGTAACTTCGAGTTTTTTAAATACCAAATACTATAATCAGACATGACACTTAAGTATTTCAAGATTTTGTTGAGTGTAGTAAGATATGATTCTTTTGGATTAGATTGAAATCTAGCTCACACACTAATACTAAAACTAATATTAGGTCTGGTTGTAGTTATATAGAACAAACTTCTTATCATGTTTTTATAAAATGTGGAATCAATACATTTACTTGTTGGGTCTGAACTGATCTTGATAGAAGTGCTCATGAGGGTTCAAGTATAACTCATACCTTCCATACCAAACTTGTTAACTATATTTCGGTGCATACTTTGATTGAGAAATATTGCTTAACTTGTATGCCAAGAAAGAAGTTTAATTCACCAATCATACTTATTTCAAATTTAGATTTCATCTCATTAGCAAACTCATGAGAAAGTGAATCATGAGTAGCTCAATACACAATGTCATCAACATAAATTTGAATAATAAGTGTTTCATTACCTATTTTTCTTATAAATAGTGTCTTGTCAGTAGATCTCTTTGAAAACAATTATCTAATAGGTATTTTGTTAATTGTTCATACCAGGCTCGCGGTGCTTGTTTTAAATCATATAGGGCTTTTTTCAATCTGTCCACGTGATCAAGAAACAAATAATTAGTGAAACCTTTAGGTTGTTCTACATATAACTATTCTTGTGAAATCCCATTGAAGAAAGCACTCTTCACATCCATTTGGTATAGTTTGAAGTTCTAGTGATAAGCAAATGCAAGCAGTATGCAAACAGACTCCACACGAGCTACTGTGCAAATGTTTCATCAAAATCAATTCCTTCGACTAATAAGTATCCTTGTATAACTAGTCTTGCTTTATCAATTATAACTATTCCATGCTCATTTGATTTTTTTCCAATTATGTTATGAATGTCACGATGTAGAACCAACTCCCATGTATCATTTTTAATGAACTAATTCAGTTCTTCATGCACGACATTGATCTAGTTTTCATCTTGTAGAGTTTGGTTAACCTTTTTAGGTTTAACTTATGACAAACAACATACATATGAGACTTGATTAACTTATTTTTTCCTGAACCTCGTACCTTTTCTATTTTTCCAATGATTATGCTTTATCCATGAGGAAGGGTTTTTTTCTTTCTTTCTTTAGACTTCAAATTTTTTAAATTGACCTTTACCTCTTGACTTATGTTTAGAACAACCACTATCTTAATACTACAAATTTTTATTCATAGTTGTTAGTACAATGTGTATGACTAAACATTATTTTTCTTAATTACCCATTAATTTTTCATTTTTCTTTTATTAGAACTTTCAATCTCGTTAGAATTCTCATAACTTAGTGACTTATCACTTTTCTTATTTATAGTATATAATTAATTTAAGGTTAAATCAACCTTTTAATTTAAATTTTGATAAACAATTTTTTGTTTACATGTCCTTCAATTTCGCAATGCTGATAGGTCGGGATAAACTTACTTTTCAACTTACCTTTTTTGACGTTTGATTTTTTTATTAGCATAAAAGGTTCCTTACCATTTACAAAGCTAATCCCGTTGGAGGAGGAAGATATAAACATATTATTGATAGATTTTCTATATGTCATGTATCCTAATCTTGTACAATTAGTACTGACCTTTTAAGTTTTCAACAGTTCATCAAGTTTTTATGTCGCTGACAGTTCTTATGACTGTTTGCATATAGTTAAGTCATTTTCAAGTGCTATGACTTTTCTAAAAGATCTAGATATCTCTACTTCTGATAGATTTAGAGCTTATGCTAGATTGTTCTTCTCATTCTCCATATCTATCAGTTTATTAAACAATTTCTTATTCAATTCCTGGACTTTCACAATATCTTCATGCAAATCGTCATAAGTTTTCTGCAAGCTTAGTTCATGACGACAATAATAAAAATAATAATTGAATCACTATAATTTATGACAGTCTGATTTGTGTTAGAATTACATAATATCTCAATAATTTGTTTCATGTCAATGGAACCATTAACAGTGTTAGAAAGAGTAATAAAAGCACATTTATTATCAGATGATGGATTAGAATTTTAAAAGTCAGATTCATCACTTAAGATGACATTAAGAGCTTTTCCTTATTTCTTTTGAAATTAGGGTATTCACTTCTCAAGTGACCACATCCTGAACATTCAAAATACTTAAGTCTTTTTCAAGATTCAATTTTAATTTTTCTTTCATTTTTTGATTCATTTCTTTTGACAAAATCATTTACCTTTTTTCCTTCATCAATTTTCTTCTTCTTAAACATGAATTTTTTGAATTTCTTAGCTATAAGAGCTATATCTTTATTATTAAGATCATTAGAAGAGTAGTCATGTTTTTCCTTATAAAATTTAAATGCAATAAACTTACCTTTCTTTTGATGTAGCAATGTAGATTTATATACCTACAATGGACTTACCTTTCTTTTGATAGACTTACTAGTTCTTCAACACATACAGTATTAAGATCCTTGCTTCCTTTAATGGCTATTACCTTTGGCCCAAATCTTTCAGATAAGGATCTTAGGATCTTTCTTACAATTAATGCATCTTCCACTTCATCTTTAGATTGAACTTGGAATTCATAATGTCATTAAGTTTAATATAAAACTCATTAAAAGATTTATCTTCCAACATTCTAATTTCTTTAAATTTTGAGGTTAACATTTATAATTTGGAGTTTTCACTAATTTTGTTCCCTCATAAGTAATTTTAAGAATATTTTAAGCTTCATTAGCTATTTCACACATAGATATTATTTTAACTCATCAAGAAAAACTATTATAAATATAGCTTTTAGACCTTTTGTTATTCCAATTATAATTAGCAGCATTATTTATGTTCTATTATGCCAAAAACGTTTCAGGTTTGATTCATCTTTGGTCTAATAAGAGCCATGCTTTATCATTTACTAATTTGAGAAAAGCTCTTATTCTAACCTTCTAGTAAGTATAGTTTTTTCCATTGAATTGTGGTGGTGAACTCAGTATTAACATATTCAATCATGAAAAATAAATCTCACTCTTATAGAGTGAACTTACTTTAATACTATTTGAAAGTTCCATTTCTTGTTTATCATCTATTAACAGATGATTTGATAACACTTTGTAAACACTAATCAGTAATTAAACAAATAAAAAATTCATAAAATTTAAAAGCACAAGGTAGTTGGTTACAAAGGGAAAACCTTTTAAAGAACTTTTCAAAAGA